TTTGCCCATGCATGCATCTCATGCCTACAGCACACCACCCACAGCTTTGCTTTTCTTCACCTCGTCCCATGCATGTTTGCTCAGCGCGGTCAACGAAGGCTGTGGTAGAGCAGTCCGCAACGACGTACTCCGTCACTGTTTACGAAAAATCTGCGGCACACCCCCACAGGCAGCATAAAGGAGCCAAGCCTACGGCAAACGAAAGTATTGGCGAAGCAGCCCGCAACGGCATACTCCAGGACAATTCCTGAGAAGCTGTGCAGGCGAACGAAAGTATTGGCGGAGCAGCCCGCAACGGTATGCGTCCGGCATGCGTCCCGCTTGGCTGAGTTCGGCAGGCGAAACCACCATCGCGCGCTTACTGCTCGACATGGCAGTCCACACCGACGCACCAATGCCGAACAGCGAGTTTCCTAACATGCACGACAGTCTCCAAAGTCCTTTGTTGACATGCTGGTCTGACCGTCAGATACACTATATCATTCTCACAAACTTGGACTATGCGCCTCTATATCTTACGTGACTCTGAAAGTGTGCTTGTGATTCGTCTGATTCTGCGTGTTTGATGTGTCTCTAAACTCACGCTCTGCATTCAGTATACAGTACAGAGACACGGCTGCGGAAAGCTTGCCTTTCGTCTCACGCCTTCATTTCATGCCTACAGCGCAACACGCATCTACAGCGCAGCATCCCAGCCCACAACTTGCGTACTCCATGCCTGAACCTTCGTCGTCGTCGAAATCAGCGGCGATCTCTTCAGAGATGACTCAGCAGTGAGAGAGGACTCAGCGGCGAGAGATGACTCAGCAGCGAGAGATGACTCCCCAGCGAGAGATACGTCAGCAGTGAGAGACGACCCAGCCGCAAGAGATGACTCTGCAGCGAGCGATGGCTCAGCAGCGAGAGATGACTCTGCAGTGAGAGATGACTCAGCAGCAAGAGATGACTCAGCAGCGAGAGATGCCTCATCCGCATACTAAAGTTGTACTACAAAGTCGCCAGTTCTCATGGTCCAGCTTGCCAGATACTCCGCGCACGACAGGTGCACTACAATGTCGCCAGTTCTCAGCTTCCAGCTCACACATTGCTCCGCGTACTAAAGTTGTCCTACAAAGTCACCAGTTCTCAGCTTCCAGCTCCCCAGATGCTGTGCCTGCCAGGAAATCTGCCCATGGAGGTTCACAAAGTGCTGCGCCTGCCACGAAATCTGCACATGGAGGTTCACAAAGTGCTGTGCCTGCCACGAAATCTGCACATGGAGGTTCACAAAGTGCTGCACCTGCCACGAAATCTGCACATGGAGGTCCCCAAAGTGCTGTACCTGCCAGGAAATCTGCACATGGAGGTTCACAAAGTGCTGCACCTGCCACGAAATCTGCACATGGAGGTTCCCAAAGTGCTGTGCCTGCCAGGAAATCTTCACTTCAAGAAACAAGTGAAAAATCTAATTTTAATGGACGGACGATTCCGAGCATGATCCGAGAATGATCCGAGACCGTCTCGCACCCGTCATTCCGCAGACCTTGACTTGCCAGCTTCGGAGCCACCGGTTCCATTGAAAAAAACAGCATTTCGTGCGTTCGCTATCTCTCCACAACGCATTTTGTATTG